ATTAAAAGATAAATCTACAGTGTTCTCTCTGAGTGTAATTTTATTCTTAATTTCTTTTAAAAAAGTTCTCACCAAATATTTTGATAATTATATCAAACTGAAAAATTAACTTGTCAGTCAGACAGTTGTTTGTTTCAGCTTGTACGAGGAGACAATTGGCAAAATTCTCTTATAAAAAATACCGCTTTACTGTTGTTACCGGATGTAATTCAGTATACGTACATATCCGGTATCGAAACGCATGACCTTTAATAGGTTGAATTTTTTCTCGTCCGCAACTACCTATGCCCGCGCAGATCGTTGTGCCTACCGCAATGAGAACACGGCCGTGCCTTTCGGACGGGGTAAGAGGAAGGGGGAGGGCCCGACGACGTTACCAAATCGCTATGGCGTAACATTTTGCTTATTCACGTTCGATTATACAATCTGGCACACTTTTACTCGGAGCGTGCCGCGACAGCTCGTCGAGCGCACCTCGATATAACGTATAGTGTCGTTACAGCATTTTTATCCCTTACTTTCCAAATTTTTCGCACATAATAGCGTTCACTTTTTGTTTAAAAAACAAAAAACAAAACAAAAAAAAACGGAAAAGAGAGAAAGAGAAGAGTATTTAGTGGTTTATCTAACAAGCTGTTCGTAACGGTTTTGCTAAAGTACGAGTATATCTAAAAATTTAGCTAGATCAATACTAGAAATTCAAAATGCCTATTACGGTCGAAGCTGGAACTTCATTGCTTTAAATAATTCAATCTTGAATTACTAATATATACACTATATACGTACTTGCATAGATACTACATTATATGTAGTCTTTTCGAACATCGAATTGTTTTTCCGTACTATAAACGCAATTAAAACTACTCTAGTAATCGTGGATTAAATTTGACAAGCAATTTTAATAATTTGATGCTACCATCAAGCATCGTATTATAAAGATGTTGATATGTTAAAACTGTTAATAAATTTACTGCGAAAAATTTAGCGAGAACTTCATATCTAGCAAGAGATAGAATTGATAATAATTTTGTTGGACCATAGAAATAATTATGTAGAATATTTAAGCGTTACACTGCGACAAATTTTAACATTCTAGTAATCAGCAAATCTATAATATGTAGTTTAAGCACCCTGCATAATTATTTTGGTGATACAAACAAAATTGTTTTCAGACCTGTATCTAGCTAGATTTTTAAATATTTCAATGAAATTGTTCTTTCTGTGATGAAGTTAAATTTTTTATTTTCGAAAGTATTTGATTTTCATCTCAATTTATACCTAATAATTCAATCGAGAAAGCAAAATAATTAAATTAATAGCCAAATTTCACACTATTAGAATATTAGAATAAAATTATGACCAAGCTGCTGCTTTGCTCGCGTTTTCGCGACACTCCTCGCAAAATTCTACAGGCTAACCGTAAAGTTATTATCGACCACATACGCAAATGGCAGGCTCATTCCGAGCCACGGAAATTTTCATTAAGGCGTTGTCTTATTAGCATATTTCGAGTGGTCGCAATTTACGGTCCAGTAAACAGCGATCATTCGTACCTCCGCGCGGCCACGATTAATGGCGCTTTAAATGCGCTAAAGACACACGCGCAGCAATTTTTCCCTCCGAGAAAAATGATCGGGCGCGTTGTAAAAACGAGGTTAAAGAAACGTAGTCTCGCTCACAGGATATATTCAATTAAGGAAAGTTCGATCTCATTGTCGACAATGTCGCGGTGGGAATTGCGGCCTGCGATGATAATAAAACGCAACGAGCGTTGCCGCTTCCGCCATATACCTTGCGTTAGCCTTTCTTCTATTTTCTTTTCGCTGCGATAATTGATACTCTAGGCTCGCACGCAGAGAATTTCACCGCGATTGTATACCGGAGCGCTTTTCACTTCGAACCGCGGCTCATCAAGAAATGAACTTTGGCGCCGCGCCGGTCCGAGAACGCGGCTGTCTTCGCTGTCACGCAGGTGCGCTCCTTGACGATAATCAGCTGCCGATCCCGCTTAGTCGTACTCGCTTTTAATGCCGATAAAGAGAATATCCATGCCGCAAGATCGTAGTCGAGAAATTGCCTAACTTGTCGATTGCGCCTTGATTAATTTATACTTTGCGCGCACCGGTCCAAACCAACGCGACTAACCCACATCGTCTACGTTTAATTAATTCCTGCGATACTTGGATTCGCCCTGCGGGCGAAGATGGCCGCGCAAAATACATCTGACGTAGGTGAATCGGTAAAAATCTAATGCCGCAAGTGTCCGCAATTCGCGAAATGTTTTTTTCGCGACGTCCTCAATTTGAGGATCGCTGACATGCTTAATCTTAGCGCGCAACCTCCTTCGGAACCTCATTACAGTGGGCTAAATTTTTATGTTTAGAATTGAGTCTCGAGCATTACGCTTACTTTCAATGTTGAAAATCTATCTTTATATTGCGAAAGCAATTATGTAGACATATGTATGTGATTTTTGTACTTTGCCTCAGATGACTTGTCGAATGACAATTGAATGAGCTAAATTCGAAAGGTATATCAGGAAAAATGTTCGGTATTTGTGAGTATAATTACATGATAAAACATAAAATAATTACAGTAAAAAAAAGCTCCATTTCGATAATTACTATAATGTTAGTGATAATTGATATAATACTAGTAATTATATACTTACATTTCTATTTATTAGACAATTATACTTAGAGTTTCACTAAAAAAAAAATATATATATATATATTATACAATATATTATGTAGTTGGCACAAAAATGATTATAAGTTACAGTTAAATTATCTATGGAAAGAATTGTTTTTGCTGAAGTAACTAAAAATTTAGCTAGATACAGATCTGAAAATAATTTTGTTGGCCCAAAATATCAAAATATATAATTAATATATAATATAATTACAACCATTTTTTTGTAAAAGTAAATATAAACCATTAGAGACCCTTAACCAATTTTGAGTGGGCTTTTTGGCTTTACCTTGATAAAATTTTAATTTGAAAAGTTAAAAAATAGTCGATAACTAACGAGAGAATGTTTACATCATCTAGATGTAGAAGTTTATGAAAAAAAAATTTGTTATTCCTCAACGGAGATTGTAAGTATCGAAGGAGAAAACTGTCTGCGTGTCTGTCTGTCTGTCTGTGGAGATGCGAGAGCGGCGTAGACGGAAATGCTTCGGTGGCAGGAAACGAATCTGGGCCGTCGAATCAGAGAACGGCAAGTAGGTCACGAGAACGAGACGAGTAGCGCTCCGGAGGTGTCGACGTCGTCGTCGTTGACAGCGACAGCGACAGCGACGACGACGACGACGACGACGACGATGCTCGTGAGATCGCTCTTCCACGTTCTCCGCGACGACAAGGCGAATCCTTTCACTTGGCATCTTGGCCGCGGAGGAAGTCCTTCTCTAGTCTTAGACGGACTAGACGCTTCCTGCCTTCACACGCTCAACGCTCGACGAGAAATTCGACCCACAACTTCTTCTGTCCCGCAACAGCATGTTGCGTCTTTGAAATCGCGGATTTACGTTCTAATTCCTTTATCACTTTCACGTCTACTAGATCAAACTGTAAAGTATTTATGTTAATTGTATTTATGTGTATTTAAACGTTATATTTAATAAATACAACGTTTATTGATGTCATGTCATATACTGTACGATTATTATGCTATACAATATGAGAAAACAATATAAAGTCTCCCTTTATTATTCTATTATGGCGGAAAGTGAAATAAAAATGTCAGCGATTTAATATTTCCTAAATAGCGCCATTGGTACGTGGAAATTTATCCACTTGTTTGAAAAATAAGAAGAAGTAAAAATATTTAAGTCATCTCAGCGCGAAGTAAACGTATTGTCAATATTTATTTGTATCATACCCGTGATAATTTTATTTCGAATTACAGCATTCTATGAGGTCACAGATGTAAAAAGCGACAAAATGTCGCTTATACATTTTTATTTCATCTACATCTTTAGATTTCACAACTTGTTTCATTATATTTATATCAAAGATATATATATATATACATACATGTAGATTTCTCATCAATTTTGGCAATGTAATATTTTTATATTTTCGATCCGCACGCATGTGTTATATTCGTAGAAAAATAAAGCCTCGCGACTATGAATCTATCTCACTAGTCGAAAAGTGATAAGAAAACACGATAATTATAGTACATATATATAGATATCACTAAATCATAAAGTCTATTGGTATTGCTTGCACTTCTTACACTCAGAATCTTAACTTTCTCTCTTTCTTGAATACTTGAATATATAATATATTTATCCCGTTTTAAATGCAAAAACTTGGAGCGATTTTAAGCAGCACGAATAAATCTATGGACTCGTAGAGGATCGATCGCGTGCGTGGTTATTCGTCGGTTCAAAGGCGAAAATATTCCGCGTTTGGTTGGTCGACGGCAATCGAATCGATATCTACGAAGGCGAAATAAACTCTACGGGTTACCGCGTCGTTACGTCACGACGATCCAGTCTTCAGATACCACCGCGAGATATCGAAATCACTGTTTCATTGAGTATTCATCCTCCTCCATTCCCCGCACTTTCCTATCTCTTCCTCTTTCTGACCGCCACGCCGATCGATCGTGATGAGAACGGAGATACATCTACTATCGTCGAAATTGCCGATAAGTAAACGAGGTCAAAGAAAAGGCCCTCATTGCAAGTCCAGCATGAAATCCGAGTCGGCAGATTGCTATCCGTCACCTCTAAAGTAAAGGGTAAAATTTCGAAATCTCAGTTTGCCTACTCTCTCGGTCGATTTTTTTCTTTGATTTTCATGTCGTCATGACGTCGGAATTTTAATCAGGCACCGTCCACAACACATCGACCCTGCATGATCTGTTATTACCTATTATCGCTTATTGTTCGAATTCATCGAGGATTCTCGGGGAGTTTCCCAGCGGGGTTCGCTAATTTCGCCAATTACGTCGTTGTAATAAATTAGAGTTTGAGTTGAGAACTTACGTGAGGATGGCTGACGGTAATGCAAGTGATGCTGGAGACCCTGCGCTTGATGATGATGATGATGGTGGTGGTGGGGCGGTCCCATCGTCGGGCCCATAGTATGGTTGCTGTGCTGATGGTGTGGTGAACTCCCCCGTGGATGATACTGGGAGGTGATAGGATGCTGATGAGGATGATAGGTGGGCGACAGGAAGCTTGCCGTCGACCCCGGATACACACCGGGGCTGTGGCAGGCCGATCTGCCGAGTGCTGCTATCGAGCAATCAATAAGATGCGCTTAATAAGGAAGTATATTTCGAAAATTTTTTTTTTCAAGTTCCTTCTTTTCGGAACTTCCGTTTAACGAAGTTTACGTTAAATCCCAATCCATCAATCTTACTCTTAAAACAACTATATTCTGTCACGCAAAAGCATTTTAACGATAAATAATCTTAATTCTTTAAAATATTCAGTAGTTACAATCAGAAATATAAAAATTATAAGTAGAAAGTGCAATTAAAAGTGAAAATTTTTAAATCTATATAAGTATTATTAAGTTACTTCGACCAAGATCCTTCGACCGAAAATTCTTTGTTTTATACGATTTGGAATCTAGATTACAATTACGTTTAAGTTTTACGTATAGATAAATAAATACGTCTACATGAAAGTATTACTTAGAAAATTAAAATTTTTTTGTAATTAAATTTATAACGGATTATCTCCAAAAATAATTAAGATTTATATGACGTTAGAAAAATTATATAAATTTAATGTTGCTTATTATTAAAGCTGGGAATTATATGCACGTAAAAACAAGAATATATGCACATATTATATACATAAAATTTAGTAAAAATATGCAAAAATATTAGGAAATAATGTAAAAATATGCAAAAATATGCAATATATACGTTTATTAAAATGAAAAGCAAAGAAAGAAATCTTTGAAATCAATATTTGAGGATTAATGGCCTGGCTTGCGTAATTATATTTTGCGATTTATAGAATTTAAATACTAATATTGAATATGTTTAATAATTTAGTTTAACAACTATGATGTACGATTTATAGATTTTAAATACTAACACTGATGATGACCCGATGAAGGGGTCGAAACGTATGTTTAAATAAACAGATATTTAATAAATTGTTTATTGGCTCGTAACCCTTATATAATACTTTCTTTAACAGAAAGAAATATTTTTTTAAATATAATAAGGTAAACAAATAACAAATTTAACTTGAAGCAAAAAATACAACATAGTATTAACACAAACGAATTTATTTGAATACAAAACTAAATCAAGAATATTTAATTTCTTAGAGAACACTGTAAATACTTACAATGAGATATTTGCATAAGATGCAAAATATGCAATATATTTATTAAATGAAAAGCACAGAAAGAAATAATTGTAAAAATATGATAAAATAAACAAATTAATTAACTTTGAGCAAAAGAATATATAAAACAGTATTAACACAAAATGACATAATTTAAATACAAAATTAGGTCTTAAATATTTAATTTCTCGAAGAATTGTAAATACTAATGACTATATGAGCAAATATGCAATTTATCAAGAAATATGCTCAAAAAGATACATATATGCAAAATAAAAGTATACGCTTTGCTTTTACGTAATTCGTGTAGATATACAAGCCGTTTTGTATTCATATTAATAATATAAAATATGCACTTTTTCACATAATCCTGCAGCTTTACTTATTATAATCTGAATTTCCTTAAAAGAGAATTGCTCAATGAACATAATTGATTTGCAAGAATATTAGGTGAATACGAATTCTTTAATTCTCAAATTGATAAATTTCTTAATAACGATTCCTATTACGAATCTCTCAAATTTTTTGCAAATTTTTTGTAAAAGAAGATAAATAAATAAAGGATTTCTCTCTTGTAAAGTATTAATTACTATTAAAATATTTTTTGTTCAATATTTAAGACTTTTCTTTAATTGTTTCCACATATATTAGAGTTAAACGCGTCAATGATGGTGCGCAAAATATATAAAGATCGAACTCACCCGACGAGAGATGGGAGTGATGAGACGCCAGACTCGGCTGGAGGGACGAATTAGGATTGAGCCTTGCTTTCAGTAAGAGATTCGCGTCCTCGTTGCCGCCGGAGGACGTGCTGGACTCGACGTCGCTGACTCCGCTGTCCGCTGGGCTCGCTGGCAGTGATCCGCTTCCTGCTTCCAGCCATGAAACAAAGGGAGGAGACGCGTCCTCTGTGATAAATAGCCGGCAGAGTTTACGGCTAGCGATAAGACGCGACACCGTCAATTAATCTCGCGCGATTCCGTTTCGCACGGAGAACAGCGCGATAAATAAAATAGAAGGCACTCGAGAGGATTGTAGTCAGAGAAAGAATTGCGTCAGCCTCTGCGAAAATTATTATTTCGTTGAAAAAGAAGCTACACGCCAAGAACAATAACTTTACGTAAAGTTACAAGAGTCAAGCTTGTAACGTGAATGACATATCCTTTTCACATTTAATTTCAAATAATATAAAAAATATTTAAACAAATAGCCGCTAAACTTTTACTTTTGCCACTCTTATATAAAATCACTGTATTTCTTGATATATTTGAAATAATATCTTTTTATTATCTATTTTTGTTAATCTAACTTCTTCACAGAACGGCAAAGTTAGTGGTGCTCAAACAGTATCACATTTTGAGGTGAAAAAAATACACAATGAAATAATGAATTATAATAAATTTTACTCAAAGAAAAGTTATAAGACTAAAACCGGACTTCGTTCTCTAAAGGTTAATAAAATAAAATTATAAATAAAATTACAATAATTATAATTTCATTTTTACGATGTTTTCTATCGACTACAGCCATTTCAGGTATTTCATTACATATGTGATTTGTATATATTAAAGTTTTATTCTCCCCATTTCCTTGCATATTCTTGAGCCACAAATTTTACTTTTAATCTCTCTTTCGAAAAGTCATGTCTTTTAAGAGAGCATAATTTGTGATCGATATAATTCCTCGCTTCTGACGTCACCGGCATGTACACATATAGTCGAAGCAACCACCGTATCGCATCGGTTTAAACATCCGACGAATACTTTATACCAAGTATACGTCGCAATTATCGAATCGCCGCGCCGTTTTGCTTTCCACTGCATATTACGCGGACGTGATAAATTAGCCATCGACCGATTCGGCTCTTTGCCAGGCCCTAAATTAAAGCTACGTACACGTCGCTTTCGTCTACCGCTTTAAACAAATTAGGTGTCCCATCGAGGTGGTCCAGCGGCTCTCGTTCTTCCGTTCATTCGGCTTTATCGAGCGTCGCCGAGCCATGCCGTGCCGAACGTGTTTTCGCGCGCGTCGTCAATTAAAGGCATCTTTATGCAACGAGCGAAGGTCATCCGGTCATTGGGTATGCATATCGCTCGCTCTTCCCACGGTACCTACCCTCACGGCGCGGCTGACTGTCTCAAACGAGTCCCAAAGGGTTCTGCAAAGGAGTCATTGCTCTCTTTCTCTCCTGTCCTATCTCCCTCTTTCTCTCTTTCTTTTTATCGTCATCGTCATCATCGTCATCATCGTCCACCTTGTCGTCGTATTACGCAAGGCAATCATGTAAAACTGTCGCAAGCCGATAGCCGCGAATCTCGCTGATCGACTGGCGCGCTGCTTTATGCAACGATCGAGTCCAAGTATTTTAAGAACCGTCTTACGCCCGAATTCCTACCGAATATGCAACGCAACAGTCGGTTCGTTACCGGCGCGATGGCGCGATGGCGCGATTTTTACCGTTGCGTAACGCAACTTTGTGAAATCGACATTGATCCACAATTGCAACTTACGGATTGCGAACGCGGAAATTTGGCTTACGTCGTTATTACGCGATTCCTGCGTCATATTACATTATACAGATCATTCTTGAGAAATCTCCCGAAAAAAACTTTTACTTTCTCTTCTTATTATAATTGCTATCGCGGTTGGTTATTGTTCAATTAGCAGTAGTAACACCGCGATGCAATTATACTCGACAAAACGTCCAAGTGCATCAAACTGCGTAGTTGTCATTGTCATTTCGATAACGAACAATAAATATACTATAAAAGCCACTGCAATCCAATTAATGGAAATTGATATCTTATTTTATCCGGTAAATGTCAATTCGCAAAATGTCAATTTTATTCGTGGACAAGACGTCTTTGTTGATATCTCATAATACAACATAACTATGAAATTTTTAGCATATCACGTATTTCAAAAGAGAATCTCTAATAAAAGTCTACAAACGATTGAACTAATGGAGTCAAATAAAGAAACATAAATTTGATTTTGACGTATGTCCTCGTAGTTTTATTATAAAAGTTGATTTTTTAAAATAAAATCTCTTAAAATTGAAGAAACAGTATCGATGTTGCGATACATTCTAAACAATATGGACAAAAATGTCTAGAAACTTTCTAAACTTTTTTACGTTATATTTATTTTACTTTCTTTCGTTCTATTATACTTTAATACTTCATATTTTGATATTATTATTTTAATGTTATATTTTTCTAACGTGTATTTTTATTATTTTATCATTTTATATATATATTAAAAATTCCTATTGACATCAAATACCTATTTGTCCTTCTACTTTATTTGTATTTGACTTTACTTCGTTCTTCATTATGCGTATGAATATTAAATTCCACTAAAAATATATTAACACATTTTTTTTTCAAGTTTCCTATACTGTATATGTATACCTGTACATTATCATATTGTTCTCTTACTTCAAAATTGACACAACCAAAAATATTAAGTTTTTCAAAAAAAAGTATTTTTCAACTAAATTATTGATTAATCAAACAATATCGGTAAAGAGAATATATTCTTAGAAACATGATCAAATGTCATTTTTATTATTTTCGTTTCGCAACCCTTTTAAGTTGTGGCAATTTTGATATCTTACAAAATTATAACAAATACTAAATAATTCATTAAAAGTGATATAACTTGAAATATCACAACGGTTTATATTTACCTTAATCAGTTAAACTGACTAAATTCAAAATAAACCAATTTCTTCTTCAAACTTTGATGAACAAAACTATCTTAACTCTAAATAGCGTTTTCGAGTGCAGGAGGTTTGAACTCAACCCAGATCGATTAATATAAAAGTACCATGAGTCAATCAAAAACCAAAGTAAAGTATGTGACGTTATTAATCCGACTAAAAAAAATGCTATCAATGTTTTCTGTAGAAGACTCCTTTTTATTTACAAAAATGACAGCACGCAAAATGTGTCATTTTCGTATAAATAAGGGTATTATGATTTTTTTGAAAATCTCCAGCACGAGTACAAGTATCCGTCTGATGGATAAATTGAACAAGTTATTGCTTCACTCTTTTGATGACTGATAGAAGAATCGTTACCTAACTCATTCAAGGTAAAATAACTCGAAAACTACATTTTTTTTAGTTGTGTTATTTTTGAAGTAAAAGAACAATATGTTATTCTAAATCTCATGTTGCAAAACTTAAAAAAAAAAAAAAAAAAAAGTTTATCAAAATTTTTTTCGAAATGTTACGCTGGCTAATCTATTGTCGAAAGCGATTATTGACGAAAACTATGAAAGACTATGAGGTAATCTTTCCCTCAACAATCAAGTCTCAACAGCATTTTTATAAAGCCTCGTTGATATGTCTTCAGGGTCTTACCTGGCGTATTTGTCGTGGCGATAGCGGCAGTGGTATAAGGCGGTTGGCCCATCTGTGCGTGACCGGCTAAGTGTCGGCCGTATCCGTTTTGCAGCCCCAGGCCATGCTGCTGGGGATGCTGGGAGAGGATACCGTGGAGCAGACGGGTCCCTGTGCTACTGGTAGTCGTCGCGCTGGTGGATCCCGGCTCCACTTTTACGCTTGCGAGGCCTAACTGTTCTTTCTCGCTCGGGTCGTGCGGTTGGACTTCCCTGGTATCCACTGTAACAGAGATAACAAGAAGCATTGTTTAGATAAATAGATATTAATTTTGTTTAGCTTGATATTATACATTAAAACATTGGAATTATTGTGAGTAAACGATAAAATATAATAAATGAAGTGTCGAAAATTGTAACAGAGTAGATAGAAATAAAAGGCAAACCAATTTTACCATTATTTCATGTCAAGCAATAAATATATAAAGGAACGAAATTGTGTGTGTGTTTATTATATTAGAAAATTAAAAAAATAGAATATTAGAAATTAGAACAAATATAAGAACAAAGTTTCCATGTGTATTTTAAAGTTGAAAATTGTTTTTAAATTTACACTAAAATTGCAAATGAATTTATTAAATAAAGCTTTTGTTTTTACATTTCTAAATTTTCTACTCGTCCTACAGCTTACTCTGTATATAAAATATCGTTTTACATTACAGAGAATTCCACACTGAGAGAAAAATGTTTGATATTTGTAACTATAATTATATATTACTATAATTATGATTATTACTGCTATAATAATAATAACAGTAACTATAATGTGTATAGTTCTAGCAACAAATGTATACAGTTGGCAACCTAAAATGACTATATAATTATAGTTGTTATAATATAATAAAATAGTTGAAATTACCATAAAAATGGTTCAAGCGACTATAATTTTACAGTTACATTTCGGGACAACCATATTTTTTTTATATAGTGATATATGTCTAAATATAACGCCAACAACAAATGGTTATTTTAGAAATTAAAGTACAGCATAGTTTTCATTCGCTATGCCACTAGAGCATTCGTGCAAGCGTGAATTGTGCAGACTCTGTCATAGAGTGAAACACCGATTTCTCATTAATGAAAAATAACGTTTCGCGAGATAAGTCACTTGTTGTAATTCGTATTGCACCGCGCATTGCTCGATCCAGATTAATTGCTGAATCCAGTTCAACACCGTTGGAAGATAAACATATCTTCTCCACGGTATAATTAAGCGTAGTCATAGGCGGATAAACATTCTCACGGGGAGAAGAACGACAGAAGGAGAAGGGAAAAAAAGTCGTGGCTCGGGAGGCGTTCTCGAGGAACTCGCGCTGGCTGCCGAGAGGAAGTGAAAGCCGGCGTCTCTCCTTGACCCACTGCAACGTTTCTACCTTCCTTTCAGGCGGTGCCGAGCCGCGGCGGCTTCATTAAGCAATTTCTCGCGCGCCGCGGCAGCGGGCCCGAAAAATCCGCCATGGAAAATGACGATCGACCAATGCGATTCGACTGACAATGAGACACTCCTCTTGCGAATTCTCTCGATCTTCCGATCGCGCCATCGCGCGAGGAGAGCACAAGAATTCTTTTACTCCTCACTTTCGAAAGATCGATGAAAATTGGGCAACATGAATCTCCCAGTGGTGCACGTGTCTCGCATCGGAGTTACTATGAAGAAATATTACGGAGATATTCGATGTCCACTGAAACTTGACCAATCCAAATAAACCCGTTTTGTATAATCAATATTTATGGAAAGCATCCAACTCTACACCGTTTCTACTACACACCGTTGTGACTAAATACTTGTATGAATTTATGAGTCCTCGCAAATCTAATTGGTATTCTCTAATAATTCTTCGATCTAATTAGTATATTCTAATAATAATATATGATATTAAATAATTAGAATTATTGAAGAATTATTATCATCTAATAATTCTAAATAGAATCTACGATTACACGCACGCACGCGCGCGCACACGCACACACACACACACACACACACACACACAACCGCAGTTATATTGTATGTATATAACATTGTTGTGCGTAACATTTCATTTTTATTATTGTTTGTCATACTAATATTGCTTGCTAAAACGGATCAAATTTGCAAGATAAAAATTTTCACAATGATTAGAAATATTCATCAAAATAGGTAATGATATGATGCACGAATCGGAGCGATCGCTTGGAGATCAACAAAATCGTGAAAAATCGATACTTGATACGCCACGGCAGCGCAGTTGATTTTACATACAAGTTAGCATTTCCATGAATATAATTTTCGCCTCCGCTATAGAAATTGCGTATCTCCGTAACTTCGTAAGAGTCGTAACAGCGTAATAATTACGGATGCGCCACGGAAACAAAGAATGCAACACTCTCGTATAGATCCTTCCAATTGTTACTATACAGTACTTACAAGGAGAAAAAACTGTTTTGTGTAATAAAGAACAAATGAATAATTGTGTAATAATAAAAAATCATAATTATCAATTTTATTACTTAACTCGGGAATATAGTCACTTTATTTTTCTTACATAAAAATCACTCGTAGCACTTTACACGCTTTACTCATTAAAATCACTATTAATAACAACATATTGATTATTTTTCGATTTAATAATATTTGAGAATATTACGGATATGGATTTACTCATAATTTTTCGAGAAAATTCAGTAAAAGTCAAATAAATATTACAAACGGAGAATAAGCATGTTAAGCTTATTATGATAGTATATCTAGAAAATAAAAATGTTAATAAATAAAACATTTTTTATTGTAGATTTTCGATGGAAATGCGTATTTAAAGATTTATTATAAATAGTTATTTAAAAAAGAAAGAAAATATGTTAAACAATGTTTATTTTACATTCAAACAATTCACATTTTTTTACCTATTGCATAAAAACACACTGAGAGAAATAAATTTGTTACTTATATAGAAATAAAAAAGGAATAACAAATGTGATAGTTTGGTAGAAAAATGAATCGATCAACTACTATTACTATTATTTTCTCATTATTTGTTAATGTACATACAACAAATAATACACGATTTACGATACAAATTAAAATAATCACTATTGCTAACAAGTAAAAGTCTATGAAAAAATAGGTTAGATTTTACATAAATTGCTTCTATTACTAAAAACTGGTTGAAATAAGAGATTAACATCAATCACAACAAATTGTCACTATAGAATAAATCATTTATTAAAGATATTGGTGGCTTGTTAAATTAACAAAATCCTTTCTCTCGGTACACTCCTCTGGAGACTATTTTCTTATTTAAACACTGCGTTACATTATTTGGTCAACTACTATAATTTTATTATAGATAAAATAAAAATTTAATTGCATTGTGGATCATAATGCATTTGTACGTACGAAACTCAGGCGCATATTTCTATTGAACATGACTACAGCGCAAATCAATTATTATATTGACGTCACTGCGGAACATCGATTCGTGTATTGACTCGACAATTACACAATCGTGCACATAAAAAAAAAAGATTAAATTTAGCGTCAGGCGACAAATTAATTAGAAGTTATGTCCCCTATGTGATGTTTGTGTATAAAGTTCACCATTACTAAATTATATCCGCTCATAAATCCTTTTTTTTCCCCAATAAAACAGCATGTCATTGCGAATCATCGATTGATACTAAACACGAGTTGCATTCTTTTCAATTGAAGAGTGTATTCGTAATATTTATTTTTAGAGATCCGCAAACAAGTAGGATGCACGTCTTCCAAACACTTCAAGGCTCCCGGAAATAAACGATGCTTCAGCATTGTTTAAAACTATCGTCGCTGCTCTCTCGCACACCTTTGCAGGCACAACCAGGCCCGACCCAAGAGTGTCGTTTAGCATTTTTATTACGCTCGTAATCCACCATGAAGATTTAATCGACTCTTGAGATTTAACGAACGTATATCTTCATTGCTCGCTGTCTATATTCCGGGAAAACGAGGAAGGAATTGAGAACAAAAATACCTGTCTATCGTCGTGTATCAAAATTAGTCATTATTTCTCTTTAATACCATACAAAAAAGACCCTAGATAAACAGCTCCGAAAATAATTTTGTTGGACCGTCAAAATAATTACGTGAAACGCTGATTGCTAAAATGTCAAAACTTTTTGCAGTCATGCTTATCATGCTTGAAATTTCTACGTAATTATTTTGATAGTCAAATGAAATTATTTCGAATTTGACAACCTCTGTTAGTAATTCAACTTTTAGTAAATTCGGTCGGACGCATTAGCGCATATTAAAGCTATTGTATATTGATTTTATCTGTATAAAAATAAAATGCAATTTCGAGTTATAAAATATTTTACTTAATAACATAATAAAATGTATTGAGGATTTCATGGTTTAATCCGTTTTTATATTTATATCCGTTTTTATATTAAATACACATTTTTTACGTCAATTTATATATATATGATGGATTTAATGTGTCAGTGCGCATGTCTGTGAAGCTGCACCCCCCACCATCGAAAATCAAGTTCGGAATAGGTCAAAAATTTAGCGCTAATTATGCGCTAATTTTGCACCCTATTCCGAA